AAAACAATTAAACCAATTTAAAAAATGATTTTTTTTTTTTTTTTCGATAAGGTACATGACACCCAAGACAGGTGGTGGGAAAAAGGATGAGTCAGCTTACCTTTTGATTTCTCCTGAAGTGGTGGCACGCTGCCTGTCTCTTTGGTCTTCTTTATCCTAAACATTACATATTATCATAAAATCACTTATATATAAATTCAGAGTACAGTGAAACTCACTTGTTGAATTCCATCACAGTGGAAATTAAATAAATGTTAAAAAAAAAAAAAGAAAGAAAATCTTTCCATTATAACGAATTCCATCAGAAGCAGATATGAGCCACCCCAACACCTTACTTTTTACCAGTGGCTGAGTGGTATGTCTAACTTCTCCCACAGATCTTTATCACACCTCTCACTATAGTCGGGACTCAAGCAAGGCTAAGAGAGAGGGAATGGAGATAAACAGACTGTTTGAATATGTTGAATACCAACTATCACTTATTTGTGCACTTTTTACCTATCAATCACCTCAATCTAAATTTTGTCATAACTTTTTTTTGTTCCCACTGAATACATCTAGATAATAAGTAGATTATTAGGGGAAATATATCATGATTGAATCTGCTGTAGGTGAGATAATCCATTATAAAAATCCCAAATTTCTTTTTCTTTATTTATTTATTTATTTATTTTTTGAGACGGAGTTTTGCTCTTGTTCCCCAGGCTGGAGTGCAATGGCGCGATCTCGGCTCACCGCAACCTCTGCCTCCTGGGTTCAGGCAATTCTCCTGCCTCAGCCTCCTGAGTAGCTGGAATTACAGGCACATGCCACCATGCCCAGTTGATTTTTTGTATTTTTTTTTTTTTTTTTTTTTTGAGACGGAGTTTCGCTGTTGTTACCCAGGCTGGAGTGCAATGGCACAATCTCGGCTCACCGCAACCTCCGCCTCCTGGGTTCAAGCAATTCTCCTGCCTCAGCCTCCCGAGTAGCTGGGACTACAGGTGTGCACCACCATGCCTGGCTAATTTTTGTATTTTTAGTAGAGACGGGGTTTCACCTTGCTGACCAAGATGGTCTCAATCTCTTGACCTCGTGATCCACCCGCCTCGGCCTCCCAAAGTGCTGGGATTACAGGCTTGAGCCACCGCGCCCGGCCCCAAATTTCTTGTAACAATATTTTTTTTGAGACAAGGTCTCACTGTCTCCCAGGCCAGCGTGATGCAATCATATAGCTCACTGTAACTTTGACCTCCTAGGCTCAAGGAACTTTACTGCCTTAGCTTCTCGAGTAGCTGGGATGAAAGGTGCATGCCACCACACAAGGCGAATTAAAAAAAAATGTTTGTAGAGATGGGGTCTCACTATGCCCAGGCTAGTCTCAAACTGCTGGCCTCAAGCGATCCTTCTGCCTCAGCCTCCCAAAGTGCTGGATTTCCAAGTGCGAGCCACCACATCCGGCCTCTTGAAATTATTTTACACTTTAAAAGTCAGCAGCAACTTTGCAGTACTCCATACTATTATTATTTATATTACTAGAGTGTGCTCTGAGATTCACTAAAAAAATTTTGCTTACCAATAAGAAAATTTGAAAAAAAAAAAAAAAAAAAACAAAAAACACTTTTAATCAAATATTCACACAAGGAGGGAAAAAGGAGGGTAAGGAGTTGTGCATAAAACAAACAAAAATGAGTACTTCCCTGCTTTGCCAAAACTGCTCCTTCACAGGGCGCTGTGCAACGTGCAGAGGAGAACAACATACTTGCAGACAATCTGACATATTCTCACTACAACGGCTAAAATGAAGACACTTGAGTTAAAGGCAGGGAAAAGAACTAACATTTATGTTTGCCAAGCACTTTATATACATTATGTCACTTGGCCATTACTATTCCACTTTATATATGAAGAACACTTGTCATAACATGAATAAAATATATTCAATTATCCTTCATTGACTTAAGTAAATTCACATTCAAATCAATGTACAATGTTTAGAAATAATTTTACAGTCAAATCACAAAGGGAAAACAGAAACAAACAAACACGACCCTGAAATATGTGGAAACAATAAGAAGCAAAATAAAGACCCCAAATTAAGATCCAGAAAGGACTAATTCACGGCGTTTTCCAGGCTTCCAGTATGTTTAAGATGAGCATGTACATGGAAGGAAGGGTAACAAGACCGTTCCATACTGATACAAAGTCCATTGGCACAGGCAGCCCTACACACTCCTACCCCCTCCCCAAAGGGCACTGTTACCCTTGATGAAAATGACATAGGCCGGGAGTGGTGGCTCACACCTGTAATCCCAGCACTTTGGGAGACCGAGGCAGATGGATCACGAGGGCAGAAGATCCAGACCATCCTGGCCAACATGGTGAAACTCTGTCTCTACAAAAACACAAAAAATTAGCCAGGCATGGTGGCAGGACCCTGTAATCTCAGCTACTCAGGAGGCTAAGGCAGGAGAATCGCTTGAACCCAGGAAGCAGAGGTTGCAGTGAGCTGAGATCATGTCACTGCATGCCAGCCTGGCAACAGAGCAAGACGTCATCTCAAAAAAAAAAAAAGAGAGAGAGAGAGAGAGAGACCGAGCACGATGTCTCATGCCTGTAATCCCAGCACCTTGGGATGCCCAGGTGGGTGGATCATGAGGTCAAGAGATAGAGACCATCCTGGCCAACTTGGTGAAAACCCATCTCTACTAAAAACACAAAAATTAGCTGGGTGTAGTGGCACACGCCTGTAGTCCAAGCTACTCAGGAGGCTTAGGCAGGAGAATTGTTTGAACTTGGGAGGTGGAGATTGTAGTGAGCTGAGATCATGCTGCTGCACTCCAGCCTGGCGACAGAGCAAGACTCCATCAAAAAGAAAAGAAAGAAAAAAGAAAGAAAGAGAGAGAGAGAGAAAGAAATGAGAGAGAAAGAAAGAGAAAGAAAGAAAGAGAAAGAAAGAAAAAGAAAGAAGGGAAAGAAAGAAAGAAAAAGAAGAAAGAAAAAAAGAAAGAAAGAAAGAAGAAAGAAAGAAAAAGAAAGAAAGAAAGAAAGAAAGAAAGAAAGAAAGAAAGAAAGAAAGAAAGAAAGAAAGAAAAAGGAAGGAAGGAAGAAAAAGAAAGAAAGAGACAAAATGACTTAAATTGAGAGTTAGGGGCACAAGTGTCTTGGTTCCAATTTAACTGACTGTCCTTGGTAGCTTTATAGTCATGTTTCAAACAGTCCCTCTTCTTTCTGCATCCCGCCACTGATGTAAGTTACCATTAGTAGCAACTCTCTCTCTCTCTTCCATTTCTGATTCTGCCTTATTTTCTTCTAACCTTACTTTAGACAGAACAATTTTGCATTTTATATTTCTATAGCTTGAAAATCTGTCCTCAGATAATGTTAAAAATGATGAGAAACGCTATATGTATGGTATTGTTTATTGTGGTTTTATTTACAAAACCAAAAAAATCAAAGCATTTAAGTAAACTGTGATTAAGTAAACTCTGGATCCTTAGCGAAATATAATGTGGTTGGTAAGACTGCTTAAAGAAGATATAGTGGCATGACCAAATGCATATATTAAGCTTTTTAAAAGGCAGGATAGAAATTTTTAGTACACTAAAGTCATGACAACGAAATCCACGAAAAAGAATTTTTTCTTTCTTTTGATAGAAGGGAATATTCAACAATAAAATTGGATATGTTAGGATGGGTAGATTATCAAATAATTATTTTCCTTTTTTCTGAGAAGTTCTTATTCTTATTTTCATAATTTAAATTAAAATTATCAACTTTTCATTTTAATATTACCCAAATTTATTTCAAGAGTACTTGAAAAGAACAATAATATTAGCTGGAAAACTCAAGAAACATCTTTTGAAACTTTAATCTTGTGTTCTAGGTATGACTGGATGACTTCAAAGTTCATTATAATAGGAAGATAATATAAAAATGTAAATCCTTCCCTAAAGAGAGTTGCAACTCTGAATACTATAAGCGCTTCACTTTTTTTTTGTTTGTTTTTTGTTTTTTGTTTTTGTTTTTTTTTAAATAAAGACAGGGTTTCTCCATGTTGGTCAGGCTAGTCTCAAACTCCCGACCTCAGGTGATCCGCCTGCCTCGGCCTCCCAAAGTGCTGGGATTACAGGCATGAGCCACCATGCCCAGCCAAGTGCTTCACTTTTTAAAAATGCTACCAGAATGAATAACTACTAGACATTTCTAGTCACTCAGCAAGTATCTGAAGAACAAACAAATAAATCAAAGCAAAAGCTGTATAGAATGTGAGACTATCTTACTGACTTAGAGATCCTTGGGCCGGGGGTAGTGGCTCACGCCTGTAATCCAAGCACTTTGAAGGCCAAGCCTGGCAGATCACCTGAAGTAGGGAGTTCAAGACCACCCTGACCAATATAGTGAAACCCCATCTTGAAAAAAATAGAGATGGGGTTTCATTGTGTTAGGCAGGATGATCTCAATCTCCTGACCTCATGATCCACCCACCTCAGCCTCCCAAAGTCCTGGGATTATAGGCATAAGCTATCATGCCCGGCTGAGTTTTCTTCTAATAGCATGTCAGTCTGATTTTTAGCAGGAAAAGTATTTGTAATAATGTTTTCAAATGTCAGTATTCAAAGTCAAGGAGACTTTTCTGGCAGAAAAATTTGTTTCTAATAGTCAGTGCAGGATGTCAAATAGGCCAACATCTCATTCAGAATCTTCCTTCACACTACTTCAGTCAGACTAGAAATGAAGCACAAGGTTCTATATACAGGGAACAGAAACCTTTTAATTTGCAGAGTGCTAATTTTTAGCATTAGAAAAAAAAAATGCCCTTGAATCTTTTCTGGTAATGTCACCCAAAAACAGAGAAAAGTGCCGACTTGTCAAACTGAATAAAATGGCTTAGATTTTAAAAATTAAATGATTTATGATAAACAACAGGCAAAAATGAATTCAATTCACTGGCCAGAAAAACCTCACATTCAGCAGTATTACTAAAAATACAAAATGAGACTTAAACAGCAGTGATCTACCTGACTGCAGACACCTTGGCATCAGCACGTGGCAGTCTCTTCGGAACCTCTAGTGAAGTCGAACTTACACTTTTTTGGCAACTTTGCAGTCCTGGTAAATAAGGCATTTTGATACATTCTTTGAGGTCTCCTCTACCAAATGCTGTGGCATATTCTGGTTAAAAAAAATAATAATCATCTTGATTAAATGTATACTACTTGTTTTACTACATACTAAAATATATAATGAAATACACAAAATAATAACAAGTAAAGAAAATTAAGTAACTGTAATTTATCTAGCATCTTTCCCAGGAGAATGGCTTTCTTTCTACATCTCGACTATAGGGATTGCAGGAAGGATTAGATTAAGGGGCTGATTAAGAGTGGAATAAGATAGAACCCAATCTTCACACACACACACACACACACACACACAAAATAACAAACAAAAACAAGAAAAAAAAGAAGCAAGAGTGGAATAAGGAAAAAGAACAGCTTCACAGATCTTCCACAGTCATCACTATCTTCTGCCTTCATTGTTTTACTCAGAATTCCCACCATATTAAATACCTTCACACTGAAATAAAAGGCACTTTCAAGAGTCTTGTATTTTCTAGCACTCTGAGTCTTTCCACTTTCCTGCTTTTATGTAAATAAGAGGTGTAAACACATGTCATTTGAGCTAGCAAAAGGACATCAAAGAATTCCACTTGAGGAACTAATTTTAATTTTCTGTATGTAAAATTGCATACCAAATCTGTAAACCGCAACACTGAAGCATCAACACTGGTTTTTTTATTAACCTCACATATCCATTGCACAAAGAGATGGTCAAATTATTTTTTAAAATTTTAAAAGCATTAAATGGAAAAGTAAAAGAAGATTAAGAAGTTAAAGGTGGCCGGGCGCGGTGGCTCAAGCCTGTAATCCCAGCACTTTGGGAGGCCGAGGCGGGTGGATCACGAGGTCGAGAGATCGAGACCATCCTGGTCAACATGGTGAAACCCCGTCTCTACTAAAAATACAAAAAATTAGCTGGGCATGGTGGCACGTGCCTGTAATCCCAGCTACTCAGGAGGCTGAGTCAGGAGAATTGCCTGAACCCAGGAGGCGGAGGTTGCGGTGAGCCGAGATCACGCCATTGCACTCCAGCCTGGGTAACAAGAGCGAAACTCCGTCTCAAAAAAAAAAAAAGAAGAAGTTAAAGGTGTGGGGGGTGTTCTTTGAACTAAACACTATATATATATATATATATATATTTTTTTTTTTTTTCTTTTTAAAGGATTCTCTGCCAGGTGTGGTGGTGCACACCTGTAATCCCATTACTTTGGGAGGCCAAGGTGGGCAGATCATGAGGTCAGGAGTTTGAGACCATCCTGACCAACATGGTGAACCCTGGTCTCTACTAAAAATACAAAAATTAGTTGGGCATGGAAGCAGATACCTGTAATCCCAGCTACTTGGGAGGCTGAGGCAGGAGAATCGCTTGAACCTGGGAGATGGAGGTTGCACTGAACTGAGACTGTGCCATTGCATTCCAGCCTGGGCAACAAGAGTGAAACTCCATCTCAAAAAAAAAAAAAAAAAAAAAAAAAACTTATTAATACATAAAAGCACTGTTAAAGATTTGGATGTCTTGAAATATAAAAATCACCTCGAGTTATTTAAAAGAAAACACTATTTATAAAATGGATTGTGATTCAACAGATATAGTACTGCATTGGATATTGAGAAATGCAGTTATTTAAGACAAATTTGAGTTAAAAAAAAGAAATGTTCTTTAAAATTTGTTTCCATCAGGAGTCACAGAATCACATTAATTAAATTAATTTTAGTTTGCTTTCATTTTTCTTTTTCATCAGCTTAAGATGTAATTCTTATATAAATGTCACAGAAAATGTCTCTTCCCTGATGAAAAAAATACGTGTAAATTCAAGGCACGATTTCTATGTTTTCTTAAGGAAAATAATAATAATAAAGTTACCTTTCCTAATCTTTTGTGTTTCTAAAACTGCTTTCCTCCAACTACTGTCAAAAATAAAACAACTGCCAAAGGAACTTCTGGTGACTTTGGAAGTCTCACATTTGATTTCAGGAGATGACACCGACATTTTTTCTTCTTTCAACAGTGCTGATGAGAGGGAGAGGCTGCTGCAGAGAGAGACAGGACACAAAAAGCAAAGAAAACAAGGCAAGTCTGAGGCAAGGCAAACAGACGTGTCAGAATATTTCTCTTTCAAACTTTGAATATTTTAATGAATTCTTTCAAATTCCAGGTTACAGACATTGGGTAATATTTTTAAAAAGTAAAGTCCAGTGGCAAGTTATCACCTACAAGACAATGAAATACTTGGGTTCTCTCAAAAGCATTATTATAAAATGCATTTGTGCCTGAAAAAAAAAGACACATTCTATGCTTCATGAAAAATAAACATGTTCTCTACATAATCATCACCTTTATTCTAAACATGGACACAGAAGGAAAATAAATCATGTACCCTGCTTACTTAATATATTAAACACATATTCAATTCAGTCATATACATTAAGTATGTATTACATGCAAGGCATGACCACATCCAAAGTGTACAACCATGAGCAACTCTCAGGAGTCTCATGGGTATGGTGAGGAGTGACATCACTAAGACAGTTACCATCTATGAAATGCTATTTTTCCAGGAACCTTACTGGGCATTTTGCATACATTTTTTCCAGCAATCACAACAAAGAATTATAGACACTCAGATTCCGCTATGCTCATTCATTCATACAAAATAAATTATTTACTGAGTGCTGATTTTATTCCAAGAACTACACAAAGCCTTAGAGAAACATGCTAAGCAAAATGGTTCCTGCCTTTGAGGAGCTTAGAATCTAGTAAAAGAAAAGCAGATCAGAAAATGGATAATACAGTTTTAGTAAGTGCTATGGTGGGGGAGCAAAAAATAAGGGTGCCGTGGGAGCAGACAGGAGGGAATCCCACCGCAGTCTTGGGCATTAGGGAACCGTTTCTGGAAGAAGCTGACAAAGCAAGGATGTGGGAGAGCAGAAGGAGGAAGAGATGGCTCCTAGCAGAGGAAGAGCATTGTGATGGTTAATATCGTCAACTTGATTGGATTGAAGGTTGCAAAGTATTACTCCTGGGTGTGTCTTTGAGGGTGTTGCCAAAGGAGATAAACATTTAAGTCAGTGGATTGGGAGAGGCAGACCCACCCTTAATCTGGGTGGGCACCATCCAGCAAGCTGCCAGCGTGGCTAGAATAAAGCAGGCAGGACGTGGAAGAACTTGAGTTTTCTGGCTTTCATCTTTCTCCTATGCTGGACGCTTCCTGCCCTTGAACATCAGACTCCAAATTCTTCAGATTTTGGACTCTTGAACTTACACCCAGTGATCTGTCAGGGGCTCTCAGTACTGTCAGTTTCCCTACTTATTTTTTTTTTTTTTTTTTTCTGAGTCGGAGTTTCACTCTTGTTACCCAGGCTGGAGTGCAATGGCGCGATCTCGCCTCACCTCAACCTCCGCCTCCTGGGTTCAGGCAATTCTCCTGCCTCAGCCTCCCAGGCAGCTGGGATTACAGGCACGCGCCACCATGCCCAGCTAGTTTTTTGTATTTTTAGTAGAGACGGGGTTTCACTATGTTGACCAGGATGGTCTCGATCTCTTGACCTCGTGATCCACCCACGTCGGCCTCTCAAAGTGCTGGGATTACAGGCTTGAGCCACCGCGCCCCGGCAGTTTCCCTACTTTTGAGGTTTTGGGACTTGGACTGGCTTCCTTGCTCCTCAGCTGGCAGACAGCCTATTGTGAGACTTCACCTTGCGATTGTGAGTCGATGCTCCTTAATAAACTCCTCTTCATATATACATCTATCCGATTAGTTCTGTCCCTCTAGAAAACCCTGACTAACACAAGCACATAAAAAGCATGGCGTTCTCAGGTGAGGGACAACAGGAATATAGTTGAGCACAGCTGCAGTGTGTGTGTTGCACACCAGCAGGGAGGGAAGGGGAAAAGCAAGAATGTGGCCGAGAACGTGGAAAGACAGGGCAAAAGATGAGGGCAAAGGGAAGAAGAGAAAGAGGGAAAAAGAGGAAGAGGGGGGGGGGAGGGAAGAGAGGAGGGGGAGTCACGGAGTAATCTCAGCAATGGGGGAGTATGGGGAAGCTGAGCCCTCTCCAGGAAGCTACTCCTGAGGGGTTGCTGCATCAGATCCTGAAAAGCTATTTGTTACAACATGAGAAATCAGTTAAAAATAAAGGAGGGAAAGTCTTTAGATTTTGTGATGAGATCTTAACAAGCTTTTTTTTTTCTTTTTCTTTTTCTTTTTATGAGACGGAGTTTCACTGTTGTTGCTCAGGCTGGAGTGCAATGGCACAATCTTAGCTCACCGCAACCTCCGCCTCCCGGGTTCAAGGGATTCTCCTGCCTCAGCCTCCCTAGTAGCTGGGATTACAAGTATGGGCCACCACACCCTGCTAATTTTTGTATTTTTAGTAGAGACAGGGTTTCTCCGTGTTGGTCAGACTGGTTTCAAACTCCCAACCTCAGTGATCCGCCTGCCTCGGCCTCCCAGAGTGCTGGGATTACAGGCATGAACCACAGCGCCTGGCCCTTGGATAATGCTTTTACACTGCTTGAAATGGCAGTGTTGGGAGTTAAAAGTGAGGATGGAGACCAGACGGTGATGAGCTGCAGAGCACGGGTAAAGAGTATTAGGAAATGTAGTCAGGGACAGCAGAAGGAAGGGAAGAATCCAGCGTGGCACTGGTTCCAAAGGCCCATTGGGCAGCTCCAACCTGACCTGCCAGGTCCTCTGGGCTCAGCCCATGCTTCCTTCCCTGCAGCAAGACTTGCTCTCTAATGCTGCCACTGCCCTCTCTATTCTTGGGGTTGATCCTCCTTCCAAGCAACAAAGAAAGAAGAGTGGCTCCTTCTTTCTTTGATGTTCTTGAAGACAAGTTCTTTTGGTTTCACAGGACTGGTTGCTAAAGACTTGAGAAAACAAGACAGTCATAAAGGCAACAACCACAATGAAAATGACAACAAAACTCAACTAAAATATGGAGTAAATTATAATTTCCAGCCTTAAAGAACTCAGAATCATGATCCAGATGCTATTCTAAGAGCTTCCTTCTCGTTTTATTTGTAAAGGTGAAGATGACCAGACAATTTCCTTTTAGTTTTAAGTCAGCCTCCTCCCCCTCTTAGAAGCCCCCCTTCTCGGACAGAAGAGGCCATCAAGGATTTACAATAAATGCCTCACACTCTCCAGCAGACATTTGCATTTCCAAAACTTTCAGGCCAAGGTTGCACCAAAGAACAGCCCTTCTAGGGGCATTTTATTCTATCAGGCAAGAGAAAGCCTTCTTAAAACTGGCTTTTTAGTAAACGTTCACATGATAAATACATGATGATTCATTATACTATTATTATCTCCATGCTTTTGTGTACATTTGAAATTTTCCAAAATAAAAGGTTTTTTTAAAGCCACAGCTGGCTGGGCATAATGGCTCACACATGTAATCACAGCACTTTGAGAGGCTGAGGCAGGAGGATCACTTGAGGCCAGGAGGTTAAGACCAACCTGGGCAACATAGTGAGACCCCCTAATCTACAAAAAAATTGTAAAACAATCGAGCATAAGGGCACATGTCTACAGTTCCAGATACTGAGGAGGAGAAGGCAGGGGGACTGATTGAACCCAGGAGTTCTAGGCTGCAGTGAGCCATGATCATGCCACCGCATTCTAGCTTGGGCAATAGAGTAAGATCCTAAAAAAAAAAAATGAAAAATCAAAATAAAAGAGCCACATCTGCAAGAATATATAACTTAAGAAATGTGCTGAAATCATTAAAAACCAAATGTCTTTGATCTGATGCTTCCTGTAAACATGGGCTCTACCTAATTCTAGTGGGAAGAGAAAAATTAAGGATACTTTACAGAACTAATAAAAGCACTATTTAAAACACACATGCACAACACACACGCACGTAGGAAGAGATAATAAAAAGAGCAAAGAACTTATGTTCTAGGGGAAGCAATTAAAAACTCACTGAAAAAATGCTTTCTAGAATTAGCAGCAAAGAGAATTAGTGTTGAGATAAATTAATTGTTTAAAACTAACAGCTGTGAGAAAATTACTATTTGTTAAGGCACCCCCAAATATGGGTGTATTTAAACATTTTAAAAATATTTCAGCCGGGCATGGTGGCTCACATCTATAATCCCAACACTTTGGGAGGCCAAGGTGGGTGGATCAGCCAATGCCAGGAGTTCAAGACCAGGCTGGTCAACATGGCAAAACCTTATCTGTGCTAAAAATACAGAACAATTAGCCATGTGTGGTGGCACACACCTGTAATCCCAGCTACTCAGAGGCTGAGGTATGAGAATCGCTTGAACCTGGGAAGTAGAGGCTGCAGTGAGCCGAGATCACTGCACTCCAACCTGGGTGACAGAGAGAGCCTCCATCTCAAAAATAAATAAATAAATAAATAAATAAATAAAATATTTCAAATATTTTTAAATAAAGATTTTCTTTTATCAGCTAGCTTAAAACTCAAAGGAAATGTTAAATATTGGCTCACATATTTATTATTCATATACCCCTTTGTTCATTCACTTAGCAAAATGTATTGAACATCTGTCATGACAGGCATGGAAGAGGTAGTAATACTGAACCCATGGAGATAAGTGCTCCGCTCTCCTGAAGCTTTGTTGTGGGAAGTCAGGCAATAGGTAAGTAAATGAATGAACCATATTTATTTCAGATAAAGTACAATAAAAGTAGAGTTCTATATTGGTGATAGTTAAGTTCAATAAAGTCACTGTGAACACTGAATTAGCAGACACTGAACCATTGTTCATAGGGGAATTACAAGGCTAGGTTCCTATGAGCCTCTGGTCCCAACATTTTCGTCAACCAATCCATACATCACTTTGTTCTATGTGTGTTTCTGTTTAAAGACAGACTTTACTGTCTTTGACTTTGTAATACCAAAGATTGACTTTGGGGTTACAAATACATTTTAGTGAGCAGATGAATCTGTAAAGGCAGAACCTGTAAATAATGAGGGTTGACTTGGCAATGTGCTGAGGGGCAGGAAGTGCTTCAGACTGGGTGAATAAGGAAGGCCTCATTTACAAGG